GAGGGGAGTTGAGGGGGTAGAAGAGAGACAGAAAAAGGCAGAGAGAGAGAGAAAGAGAGAGAGAGAGAGAGAGAGAGAGAGGAAGAAGGAGGAAGAGGAGGAGGAAGAGGAGGAGAGGCCAGCCAGGAACATGTGGAGAGAGGTGGGGGGAGGAGAATGGGGAGAGAAGGGACAGAGAGGGAAGAGAGCAAGAAAACAAGAGAGCAAGAGTCTTTTTATATTTTTAACATAGTTTTTTTTCTGGGGGGGGGCCGGGGAGTGGTTTTATCTTCTTTTGCTTTTGTTTGGTTGTTTTCCAGAATCTCACTCTGTAGGGTGAGGCTGACCAAGACTTTCTGACAATTCTCCTGTTTCAGCTTCCGAACAACAAGGAGAACAGGCAGGAGCCATCACATTTAGCTTAACAAATTGTCTTACACCAGTTCATTTTTTTCTCGTGATTTTGTCTAGACTTAGTTTGACCGGACAGTTTTTATGAGCCCGGTGGTATATTTGAGGCCACTAAAGCCACTGTAGCCAGGTGTGGGCCAAATGGGACCTGAATGTCTGTGATGGTCCCTGATCCTTCCAGCTGTTTCTGAAGGGTTTCTCATCATTTAAAAACACTGTCTCTGGCTCCTAAGAGCCCGAAATCTCAGTGTATAAGTTGTTCAAAGTGCTTGTTAATGTCTCACTGGCTAACCCTCTGCAGGTCCAGGGTCTAAATAAGAAAGTACTACCTCACCAGGCAGTGGTGGCGCACGCCTTTAATTCCAGCACTTGGGAGGCAGAGGCAGGCGGATTTCTGAGTTCGAGGCCAGCCTGGTCTACAGAGTGAGTTCCAGGACAGCCAGGACTACACAGAGAAATCTTGTCTCGAAAAACAAACAAATAAACAAAAAAAAAAAGAAAGAAAGTACTACATCAAGTCACGAGTGTTTGAAGGTACTGGTCATTGGGAACTGATGATGTCACGGTCTTTTGTTATTCTTAAGCTTTGTTCTGTAATTTGTTAGATTTCATTTTTATTGTTTTTAATTTGCGTGTGTGTGTGTGTGTATATATACACACACTCACGCACGTGTACACTCATGCACATGTAAGTGCAGGTGCCTACAGAAGCCATAGTAGCTGGACTTACAGATGGTTGTGAGCCACCCAATATAGGTGCTGGAATTTGAACTTAAGTCCAGGTGGAAGTAAATGTTCTTAACCACATAGCCATCTCTCTAGCCCTTATTTCTGTTTCTGCAACAATGTCTCATATAGCCCTTGTTGGCCTTGAACTCCCTGTATCCCTGAGGATGTCCTTGAAGGTCTGACCCTCCTGCTTCCATAACCTCCCTAGTGCTGGGATTTTGTGGGTGTACAGCACCTCATCTTGTCTTATTCGGTGCTGGGAATGGAACGCCAGGCTTCATACATACTCCATCAATGAAACTTATCCATCAGTTTCCAGCACTACAAAGATCAAACAGAAGCCAGACGCTGTGGCACACAACTGTAATACCAGCACTAAGCAGGCAGAGGTTCCTTCATTTGAGAAAAAGAAACCTCAGTGGGGACGGTAAGAGATGATGTTGTCACGGAAAAATAAAGGCGGGTACAGGTGGATGTGGTGGCAACAGTCTCCCTAACCCTTGGTGATGGCATCATGAATTCAAGGCCTGAGCTACTGAAAAATTTAAAGGCCGTCTTTGTTTACATGGTAAGAACCTATATCAAAATCTCACCCCTAATAAAAATTAAGATGATAGCGTTAATACCCTTTAGAATCATTCCGGTGAGGGACCAGATGTGAGAAGAAGGCAATCACAGGGTTTGTAGAGGCGAGAAGGCAGGGAGTCCTCCCGTTGGTGAGATTCACACAGAAAGGAGGGATGACTAGAAAGAGAAACGGTGATCCTCCGGTTAGAGCGGCTGGACCATGATATGCTGGCAGAACATCCGTTTGCCACCATTTAGCAGCTACAAATGTAGGCGTGAATTCGGTGATACCCAAATCTGTAGGTCCAGTCTCCATATGCAAACTGACCTGACCTAGCTATATGAGAACCACTCACATAACAACTACATTGACACAGTGTGGCTAAGGATCCCTCTTAGCATAAAGTTAAAGGAAAGGAAGGCGGAAGACCTTGGAGCAGTTAAAGAACCTTCACACTGAAGGTACAAAGGAAATCCTGGAAGGTACACTTGGAAATCCAAGTGTAGGCAGATCTCGGTGGAGGAGTGCTTACCTCAAACACACTAGCCCTGGGCTCCCTCTCCAGCAGTGTGCCGGCACACACCTGTAACCCCAACACTCAGACAGCGGAGGACAGACAGTCAAGACTTCAGTGTTATCCTCTGATACATAGTGAGTTCTAGACCAACCTCGAAAAAAGCAAAACTATAACAAAAGGATCCTGAAGACATTTTCCCGCCAGATGACTACTGCACTTACCTCTTGTCCACTTGGTCCCGGCTAAAGACCAACAGGTGATCCAAGTTCACCTCCCTTCGTTTCTGTTTGTCATATAACCCTATGACAGTCCAGCCAAGCTACTGGCTCCTTTGTAACAGAAATGGACTTTAATTCCATTTTCCAGTAAGATATCAGGTGTCCCTGTTTCCAGCTGAGCTTTCAATAGAATTCTTTTTCCATCCTTATTTCTACTAACATTTCTCTTCCCCTGCCCCCCAGCCCCGGAAAAGGTCTCACTTGATTGTCCAGACTGGTCTCTGACCCACAACAGTCTCTCTCTGTCTTCTCAAGTATGGTCATTGATCATAAACATATACCTCCATGCCTGGCTTCGCCACCAATTTTTAAAGGGTTTACGTGTGTTTTGCCCACATGCATGTCTGTGCACCACAGGCACGTTTGGTGCTCCCGGAGGCCAGAAGAGGCATTGGATTCCCACTGAAGTTATAGATGGTTGTGAGCCACCATGTGGTTGCTGGGAATCGAACCCAGGTCCTCTGGAAAAGCAGCCATTGCTCTCAATCTCTGAGCCATCTCTCCAGTCTCTTCTACGATTGCTGTAGTTATAACCACTCAACTCATCTCTAAGAGGCATCAGACTTTATGATTCTCCACTTTTTTTTTGTTGGGTGGTTTTGGTTTGGTTTGGTTTGGTTTGGTTTGGTTTGGTTTGGTTTGGTTTGGTTTGGTTTTTGAAACAGGGTCTTATGACTGGGCATGATGGCACATGGCCTTAGTCTCAGCATTCAGGAGGCAGAGGCAGGAAGAAGGGAGGAGAGGAAGAAGAAGAAGAAAGAGGAGGAGAAAAGAAAGAGAGAGAGAGAGAATAGAGGAAGGGAGGAAAGGAGGGAGGGAGGGAGGGAGGGAGGGAGGGAGGGAAGAGGATCTTACTCTGCAGCCCTGGTCAGCCTGAAACTTGCTATGTTCCACATTGGTTTTGAACTCACAGAGATCTGCCTGCCTCTGGCTCCTGATAATTCTCCATTTTTTATCCCTCACCAGAAATGCCCTCTATACTTGATGGAAATCTAGGCTATTCTTTAACCTCCTTCTCCAAATTCTCTTCTCTTCTACTCAGTTCCAAAGCCACTTGGTTTTTAGGTATTTGTTAGTACAACATCTTCTTCTCAGAGCGGGAGACAGCCTAAGCTATCTGTTCCAGCACTCAGGAGGCAGATGCATGTGGACCTCTGAGTTCCAGGAAAGCATGGGCTACAGAGTGAGTTCCAGAAAAGCCTGGGCTACATAGTAAGAGAAACCTAGTGTCAAAAAAAAAAAAAATCAGTTCTTGCTCTTCCAGAGGACCTAAGTTCAGTTCTCAGCACCTATACTTGGTATCCCAGCAACCTTTAACTCCAGCTCCAGTGGATCTAACACCCTCTTCTGGACTCTGCAGGCACTTAAACACACACACACACATGATTAAAAGAAAACAAGTTTGGTGTCACACGCCTATAACCCTAGAGCTTGGAAGATAAGAGACAGGAGAATTAGAAGTTTAAGGTTAGCCTTGGCTACATGGAAAGTTAGGCTAGCCAGAGACATATTGGACCCAGTCTCCAAAAACACTATAAATAAATACAGGAAATGGAGAGATGGCTCAGTGGTTAAGAGCACTGGCTGCTCTTCCAGAGGACTCGGTTTGATTCCCAGAACCCACACAATGGTTCACAGTCACCTGTAACTCCCTCTTTAACCACTACATGTATGCTGTCATATGTGTGTTCCTGCTCCCACACACATATACACATACACAAGCACACAGATAACTATTTAAAATTAAAATAAAGTGAAACAAAAACTGGACATAGTGATGTTACACAGTGGTGCATCTATGTCTGTGTGTGTGTGTCTGTCTGTGTGTATCTGTGTGTATGTATGTGTGTATCTGTATGTATCTGTGTGTCTGTGGGTGTGTCTGTGTGTGTGTCTGTCTGTATATGTATGTCTCTCTGTGTGTATGTGTCTGTGTGTCTGTGTATGTCTGTCTGTATCTGTATGTGTCTGTGTGTATGTCTGTCTGTGTGTGTCTGTCTGTATATGTATGTCTGTCTATGTGTCTGTGTATGTCTGTCTGTATCTGTGTGTGTCTGTTTGTATGTTTCTCTGTGTGTGTCTGTCTGTATATGTATGTCTGTGTGTGTGTGTCTGTGTGTATCTGTGTGTCTGTGTACATCTGTGTGTGTATGTCTGTGTGTGTCTATGTATGTGCCTGTGTGTATGTATGTCTGTGTGTGTCTGTGTGTGTGGGTGTGTGTATGTATGTCTCTGTGTATGTATGTGTGT